CAACTTGAGTACCTTATCAACATACTGAACTCAACCCGAGACTCACAGAGAAATACTGGATTTTCCCAATAAACATGTTCTAAGTGTGCAGGGTGGATGTAGCTGTGCCAGAGGGCAATCTGTACTTATTCAGTGTCAAATTAAGCTCCAACATAGAAAATGATTTTTAAGGGTTGAAGTTCAGTGCATCTCATTTGCATGCAAAATATCCCTGGTTCAAACCTTGGCATCTTTCTGTAGGGCTGGAAGAGACCCCTATCTGGAACCCTGGAATCCAGCCACCGTAGACAATTCTAAGCAGCAGGGACCAATGGTTTGACTATTAGCATGGCCTGAAAAGACAGATTTTAAAATACCAGTCTCTTCCACCATCACCAACCATCTGTACTGTGAGCATATCCCAGTATACCAGCTTAGCTTCCCCCCTCCCTTTTAAAATGTGGCAGGAGCATTCAGCAAGCTCAGCAAGCAGCTATTGTTCAAATGTTTTGTCACTTTTCTAGTAAGAGTTTGGGAATCACCACAAGGAAAGAGACAATTAGTCTAGTCTGCTGTATCACAGTAATTTGTTTCCAACAATGGCCGCCACAAGCTGCTTCATAAATGAGGAGAAAAGAAAACAGCAACATCCTAATTGTGTAGAGCTACAGCACTGGGGGCAGGGGGACCCATAAGTGTTCTGATACTAGCTGATAGTTAAATGTTTCCACTCCTGTTAGATTATGAGATCTCATCATCCCACTCCTTGTTTTAGAAATTAGTGTGCACCAACAAGAATGAAATTTGGGATAGACCAGTCTATTCCTAGTCTGTAACAGTCCTGCATTCATTCATTCGTAAGTCAATTTTCTTCATTTTCTGCATAAATCTGTGTATAATAATTTTAAAATATGCACAACATATTTCAAGATGCATTTGCTCACAGAGTATGCGAGCATTCTAAAATGCAATTTATCCCAAAATATGCATTTTAAAAAATAATTTTTTAAAAAATAATTTTTATTAGAGATTTTCTTGAGTTACAAACTAGTAAACAGGGGGGGAAAGTACATACAGCATATCCACTCTTGATTTATAGAGTCTTTTTCACAGTTCGTTTATGTTTTGTATGTGATACTATCAATCTAGATATGTGGTTGGGAGGAAAGGGAGGGGGAGAAAGAGAGGAAGGAAAAGAGAGGATGAGAGTTGGGAAAAATGCATTCTGAAACACAAGTTGGTATGGTGTTTTGAACCAGGCACTGCACCACAAAATGTGGAAAAGTATGAAATCTGAAGAATAACATTATTCCAATGTACACATTAGTACAGGAGCTTTGGATCAGGTCAGCTTGTATCAGATTTGCTAAGAAAAAAATCCTGAAGACAAATTATTACCTTTTAACTTCCATTTTCAGAAGAGATATTCCTCTTAAGTGACTCTTATAATAATGCTCAGCATTCCTACAACATGCTTCGATGGTTTTTCACACACTTGGGTGTTCAACATTCCAAGTACTCTCAACTGTGGTGTTCTCTATTGAGACCTGAACTGCCAGGATTAGCTTAAATGGAAGATGTGCCTGCTAAACTATATGGACCCACTAGCAGAGTAGCTTCGGAAGTGCAATATTGCCAGGTGAAGGGGGATCTGTAAGACCTGCGGATGGGGGTAGAACTCCCAGAGGATGCCTTGCAACTTCAGTGTCTCTTAAAAACAGGGCTCGGTTTAGTACATATTTTTGTACAAGCTTTTGTATCATAGCTCTGAATGAGCCCAGGGGAAGTGGGGGAAAGCGGAACAATGCCTTCCTTGTGCCGGTTCTTATTGGCAATTTCCAAAGATTTTTAGGAATAGTTAGCATGTCTGCCAGCTATTTTGCCAAGTGATTTATAGAATAACAAGACCTTCAAAATGTGCCAGCCACCGTGCACCATTATGAGAACAAATGTACAATGTATGCAAGATCACACCGATAATTTAAGCATGGGAAAGAAAATCTGGCTATTACTACATTTCAATTTCTTTGTAATCCTAATGAGAGGAGATAGAGGAGGGAAGCAAACAGCCATTAACTCTCCCTGTTAGACCGACTACCAAGTCTGTTTATTAAAATCCATAGTTCAGGCTAATCATATTGAATTGAGGAGTCAAGTGCGCTTGTTCTGTTTCAAGGAGGCTCCCCCCCCACCTCCCCTCAATTACATATGCAGTCTAGAACAGAGCACCACACTGTTTTGCATGTAAGAAGTCCTGTTAGATTGAGTTATTCAAATTAAGGTAGTTAAAGAAAGAAATGGCAAGGGGCATAGAAACAAGAGGGGAAAACTCTTAAATTATTAAAATGGAAAACATACATATGTATTAACAGAATGTTTTACAGATGCATTTACAGAACAGCAGAGCTCCAGTATTAACTGGGTGGGGGGCCCTAATAGGACTCAAAGGTAAAAGAACTCAAATATTTATTATTCATTGGAAAAACAGAGGGGTGGGGGAATCAGCTAGGCATAAACATTGCTGCTGCAGTGGGGCGGGGAGGAGTAGGAAAAAAGATTGTTTAAAAATAAAATATCCAGCTAAATACCTCTTGAGCTTTACAGTCCTATGCGCTCTGGGAAGGCAGAGGTGAAGGGAACTCCACTCTGAGAGAAAATTCTGATATTGGATGCTTCATCCTCGGTGCCATGTAAAGTTCTGTGGTTCTTGCCCTACCAGCCTTGGGAGCTCTGATGTTAGTAGTACAGAAAAAGATGAACATAAGAAAAGCCTGGTGCATCAGGTCATTGGCCCATGTAGTCCTGCAACCTGTTCTCACAGTGGCCAAGTGGGAAACCTGCAAGCTGGGCAGGAGAACAACATCACTCTGCCCACCTGCAATTTCCAGAAACGGGTATTCAGAGGCACAGTATCTCTGACAGTGGAGGTAAAACAGGGGTAAAGCCTGGAGGCACAATGGATTGGACAAGGGAAAGACTTAAATCCCAAGTATCCAGTGCCTTTGTACTTCCCTGACATATCTCCCAAGCAAGAAGAAAACAACACCATCCCAGGAGCTGGTATAGATTTTCTTCCCTTTATCAAGATCAGTTTTCAAAAATCCATAAACGGATGGAGGAGCGCAGTAGAGTTCCTCTGCCTTGAATTCTGCTCTGATGGAACCAGCCTAGCAGGGTGTTGAAGGAGATAGTTTGTTAGCCTTCCATTATTCCTTTCCCCCTCCCTTCCTTAGGATTGCAGCCTTTAGTATTTGTTTAGGATGGTGCCTGCACAGTTTGCAATGCCCTGCATAGAAGAGAGTAGAGTAATTTTCATCCGTGGTGCTTTCACATACAGTAATTGGTTCCGTTTCTGTATTACTCTGTAATTTTTTAAAGGATCTTTCCAAAGTGCATCTTTAACCATACATCCTGATACATATTTAAACATATATTTCCTCTCAAAATGTTTTTGAAATGTGATCCTTTCCCACAAAATAAATATTTCTGGTGCATGGAAACTAGTGAGAATTTCCACCTTCAGAAAAGCGTAAAATTCAGTGGCTAGCTAAGTTCAGATGCACACATTAGTCCCAAGGATGCAGATCAAGTCGATTGGCATGGGCGTTCACAAGGATTATGAATTTCTCAAGGATCCCTAGGCTTTTGTGTGTGCACATTAATATTTACTGTTGCCACCAGTTTTTTGCCTAAAGCAAGTGTTTGAGGTGAATGTTAAGTTCCCTTCTTTCAGGGCATTTGTGTGTGTGTGTGTGTGTGTGTGTGTGTGTGTGTAAAGGGAGAGGTAATCAAAAAGTCAAATGGCACAGGGGCAGGATTGAGAAATCCACACTGATATGTGCACATCACTGCTCTTGTTTGAAAAAGCATCAAGAAAGAGTCTCCTTTTCCTTACTACTAATGATGGGAAAGTCTAAAAAACCTATATCTGCATCCCCCATCCCTCCATAGGGCTGACTGGACCTGGGGTGAGGATGATTCAGATTTGGTATGAGGGAAAGAATTAAGACTCTCAGAAGCAACTAGCGTTAATGCTGCAATTCAGTGTCCCCCGACTGATAAAAGGAGGAGAAACAGTAAGGTGTTTTTGTTTGTTTCCGGGGTTTGTTTGTTTGTTTGTTTTAAAAAGAACACCTTGGGAAATCTGACCACAGTTCTCTTGTCATTTGGCCCTGTAATGCAGAAGATTAAACCTCTCTTTTTAATTTATTCCACTGATATCCATTGACAAATGACTGCACCATTTTTAACTTAAATATTAAGTGTGGGTGTTTCCACATAGTATTTTAGAATGATGAATAAATAATTGGGCTGGATTTTTACACAGCTGTAAAACAGATTTGTATATATTTAAAAATAGTTCCCTGAGGTAGGCCCTGTAAGGCCTTAAAAGACATTGAATGTTTAAAGATATTTCAAGCACTTTTGGGAAGTTTTCCTCTATGGGGATGTGGAGCGGGGGAGGCTGTATTTCTCAGAAAAATTAAAATTAAAAAAGCCCCATGTTACATTTTGGGGTTAAAATGCATCTCTCCTAGGCCTGAAAAGTTTTTTTGCGGGGAAAGTATTACCTTATTTTTATTGCACTACATTGTAGTGGGGGTTTTTTGTTGGCGAAAACAAACAGGATTGTAAATGCATGGTAAATGGGAGCACTGTCTCTTGGTTCTATGTTAATAGAGCTCTCTTCTCTGAAGTAATTAACATAAAGTGCTCTATCCTAATCACATATGCAGATTAAAATTAGCGTTCTCCCCTTTCCTCACTTGAACTATGCTGGTTGTACGAATAGAAAGGGTAGGTAATCCAAGTTAATGAACGTCTCTTGAGTCTTCTTCAGGCATTCTACTTGCTCTAGTATCACACACAATGTAGATCCCTGGATAATGTACATCGTGTGGAGAGTCACCATGATTACAGGCAGGGCTGGCCCAGCCATGAGGCAAAGTGAAGAAACTGCCTCAGGCAACAGGCAACCAAAGTGACTAAGGGTATGGGAACAAAAGCCTAGTGAAGAATAGTTGAGGGAGCTGGGTATGTTTAGCCTGGAAAAGAGGAGACTGAGAGGAGATATGATAGCCATCTTCAAATAACTCAAGGGCTGTCACATGGAAGTAGAAGCAAGCTTGTTTTCTCCTAGAGGATAGGGCCTGAACCAATGGCTTCAAGTTGCAAGAAAGGAGATTTCAACTAAACATCAGGAAGAACTTTCTGACGGTAAGAGCTGTTCAACAGTGGAACAAACTCCCTTGGGAGGTTGTGGACTATCCTTCATTGGAAGTTTTAAACCAGAGGTTGGATGGCCACCTGTCCTGGAAGTTTTACTTGAGATTCCCGCATTGCAGGGTGTTGGACTAAATGATCCTCAGGGTCCTTTCCAACTCTAAAATTCTATGATTCTATGATCCACCAGGGCAGCAGATCCCAATGGAGATCTTTATTCCCTGCTGGTTCCGGATGCAGCTCTTCAGTCGTCCCTTCTCTGACATGGAGGGGGTAGCCATTTCGTGGTTCGCCTGAGGTGCCAAAATGTCTTGGGCCAGCCATATTTATAGGAAACTCCCCACTGCTGCTGCCTTCCCACCGTGGAGTGTGCCTAGGAGTGTGATGTGACTAGGCATGGGGAGGGGAATTAGATTCAGTTTGGATTTAAATGCAAACTTTCCCAATTTGACCTTTCCAAAACAAGATACAAAGTGATACACAATTGTAGTTCTCTAAAGTTTGCAAGGCAGCTCCCCAGCCATGCCATACACACAGAGATGCATATTCTAGGGCAAAATATGCCTAGAAATGCATACCAAAATGCATTTTGTAAGGAGACATTGCTTTTAATAAAAGAAAGAGTATATTAAAGCAGTACTAGGTGTGCTTAGCGTTGCATCATGAGACTTAGCTGAAGGTCAGTTCTACTGTATGGAACATGGGATGCATTTTTTTTGCAGAATAGATGGAAATTTCCTGTTAAAACAATATTTTTTATGTAAAAGATATACTTCTCTGAAATAACAACAAAGAGGAATCCACACAGATCTCACAAAGAAGCTTGCTGATTAATACGGGTGCCACCAAGTGGCATACAATTTTGTAAAAAAATCAATTCAAGATAAGCCAAACAAAAAAAATATCTTGAGTCTTTCACCATTTCCTCCCTCCCCACTGACAGTTTTCTAATACAATTGCTTTTCTCATTAATTGATGGAGAACATTTGTTTGCAGGGCAACTTTTCGGCATAGGGCTAGTCTCTGTAGCATTCTGGATCAGATATTCTCCCCAGCCTTATGGAGCCCTGGTTAGGAGAAGCAATATTCTGGACAGCAACCATTCATGCTGGAACATGAATATTTCAATCAGGTCTCGCATTTGAGCCATTAGTGCAGTGGGTGAGGCATCAGGAATAAATACATATAAATAAATCAGGGCCTGGTAACCATTTGCAGTCTCAGGCATCAGCAGGGTTGTAGGCAAAAGTGGGCAGAGCGAGAGATGTAAATGTTACTTTTGTACAGTAGGTTCATTTCTATACATGCTCACAACCTTCCCTCTAGCCTCCATACAGACAAACAAGAGTCATTACCAGAGTTCAAAGGCATGTTCCAGCCAGGCTAAAACACCTGAGGAGGATGTGGAGCAAGACCTGCAATGTCACCTGGGAAGAGAGGGTGTGGCCTGTGGATAGAGTTTCAGTGAACTTGAGCTTGTTTGGAGGTTCTAGCAGGGGAGCACAGCTATTGTATACCCTTGACCGAAGAACGGTACACTCCTTCTATCTGGGATGGTTGTCCTCTTCCACCAAGGAATGTAACATTAGTAAGGGAACCAGGAAAGGATGCCCCTTATCCCCCCTTATTTTCATTATGGTAATGAAGGTAATGAACAATCAAATTCGGGAAGACCAATCAGTCAAAGGCATCACCCTGGGCAACAAAACATACAAGTTCAAAGCCTTTGCCAACGACCTGATTATTATGAGTGAAAACCCTAAAGAAAGCTTGGTAAGAGTGCTAGAGATAATTAAAAGCTTTGGAGAGGTGGCAGGTTTCAAGTTGAATACTACCAAAACAAAATTATTAGTTAAAAACTTACCAAAACAAGAAAAAAAATGAATTAGAAGAAACATCAGGATTGTGGATCTGCCAGAAAGTGAAATATTTGGGTATTTAGGGATCACCCCTAAAATAAAATGTGTAACATTCAGAAATATTTCATTGGGCCCAGGAGTCAGGGAAGGCTGCTCAGCTCACATTTTACCCATCTCTACTGTATGTTTCAGGAACAAATATATATATATATAATTTATAGATGAAGCTGCATTCTTACTGAGCAAAACACATAAAAGGTCTCCTGCTTTAAAAAACAAAACAAAACCAGCCGGTTTGAATGCAGGCAATTACAAATTAAGATGACAGCTACTGCTTCACAAGTATCATGAAACAAAGATGCAAAAGTGTTTTATGGACACAGAAAAAGAAGCTCTGGTGCTAATTCTAGAGAAGGCAAATACACACTGTGACCCACCAAGCCAAACACAGCCCATCAGACGTAAATTGAGTTAGGTGCTTGACAGCCTCCATGTGCAGTCTTCAGCAGGCAGAAAAACAGGAAGCTTATTAAGCCACTGATGGACAGCTAGTTGGGCCAAAGTTGTACTGGCAATGGAGGCAGCGGGGGAGGGGGAAATGGGATGTGGGTGTGGTGCTGGGACACACAGAAAGCTCACAGTGTTTTCCCCACTTTTCTACTGGATTGGTAAAAGAGAAAAGTGAGATATTTCACATTATCACATCCATCCTCAACCTATTTTCTCCTAAGTTCATCTGATTGATTTCAAGGAAGTGCACCAAGGATTGCATCCTTATTGCAGTTTCCAATTTATGATTCAGAGCTTTGGGCATTCACCATCACCCTAACATTGCTTCTGTCCCACTTTGCATGGGTCAGCGTAGAAGATCAGATGCAGAATCAGAGAATTCCTGGTTTGTGTGTCTTGCCGGTTTCTGGTTAGGGGAAACCCACAGAGGAGCCCATGCATGACTGTTCCCCAGATACTGGAGCCAACTTAGAGGTTTAGACTGGTGGCTATTTTAAAAAGAAATAAATAGTAGATGAAATATTTCTCCCCTAGCTTCCTTTAATGATAGGAGTGTAACTGACCTGCTCATACTCCTGGCTGCCAATTTGCAGAGGAAATAGTGGTGGCAATTTTCAAATTGCAGTTCAGTGTCAGTGCCAAAGGGGAGCAGCTAACTTCCTCTTTTTGACATTGCCCAACTTTGCTGAAAACCTCAGGAACTAACAATAGAATCTGTGACTAAAGAATGGAAGAACATTGGGATTAGGGTGCAGATAGTGTGCATGTCACAGGGTACAGAGGAGGGCAAATGTGTAATATTGGGGTGCAGAGTATAGTTACCAGATTTTTTCCAGTGAATCCGGGGACCCTTTTTTTTTAAATTTCATGCTTTATTATCCATAATTACATGGTTTTCATGGGGACCCAGGCTGCACACTCCTGTGCTCCTGGCAAAAAATCAAAGCCCTAAACAGGATCTAGTAAAAAGCTGTAATTTTATTCTCTGGAGGAAAATAAATACCTGTACAAATAAATCAATTCTCTAATAATTATAATTCCTCAGGTTTCAGGGCTGAACCCTATCTCAAAAAGCTAGAAATATTTTTCGGAGGGGGAATAAATCCCCTCAGCCTTGTTGATACGGCAGGTTCTGTTGGCTTTTTGCAGTATGGTAGCGCTGCAGAGAGCTTGCTGGGGAGACCATGCATTAAAAAGGGACTCAAAAATAATTTAAACAAGGTTTTAATAAGAAAAACAAAAACTCCTTTTACACTAAATACATTAACAAACAAACATGACCCAACCACCAACCCATCCCCCAGGGTAATGGGAGAGCTAGGTGCTGCTCCTTATATACTACACCCAATTGCCAACACAGCTTAATCAGTACAACTCGGCAGCACCTGCTATGTTTCACAGCTGTAAAGCTGGGTCTCGTTATCTTGCTCTGGCCCTTGCTTTGGCCCCTTAAAGACATACACATCGGGTGGAACAGTGATGAACCTTTACATTTAAAGAACCATTCAACATTTCCCCTGCGGTTCATCATTGTGGAACAAAAACATAAAGCATATCTTGTACATGTCTTTCATGTGTAACCTTTGGAAGTGCTTTTGTAAAAATGTCCGCAATTTGATTGTCACCTGGAACATATTCAAATACAACCATTTCATCAGCAATTAGTTTCTTTACAAACTGTAAACGTAATCTTAAGACTCTAGTGCACTGCGTATTAGTCTCTGAACATAGGATAGCGAGTCTGCTCTGGGAATCAAGGTAAACTTTTACTGGTAGTGTTACTTGCATCTGTAGGTCTGCAAATACTTGCAGATACCATTCTACATCACGAGTGGCCTGAACGCATGCACATAATTCACTCTCTGTTGTGGAGAGACAAATAATGTTTTGTGTCTGGGACTTCCATTCAAATGGACAACCGTTATAACAAAACACCATACCAGACACACCCCTGCAATTATTTTGTTCCACTGCATGAGATGCATCACAGAAAATTTCAAAACCTTTGTCAATACATGTTGTAAACTGCAACCTATAATGTTTGGTATGTTTAAGGTACATTACCACTCTCTTAAGAGCAGAGAAACATTGTGTAGTGGGCTTTTCCACAAATTTTGCCAGAAAGTGAAAGGCATAAGTTATATCTGGTCTTGAGATTCTTTGAATGAAATTTAGCTTGCCTATAGCAGAACGATACAAAGTTTTTTTAGGAAATGGCTTATCTTCACCTGTAAAAGTGAAACCACACACCATAGGCGTTTCCTTCCCATTTGCATTTTCTAAACGTAGCATTCCAACAAGATCATCAATTTTTGCAGTTTGATGAACCAGAAAAGATCCATTTTTGCCTTTCTCAATTTGCATGGATAAGTAATTTTTAGCTATGCCTAATTCCACCACATCAAATTTCTTCTGTAACTGTGTTACTACCTGTTCATATTCCTGTTTAGTTTTTGTAGAAATTAACATGTCATCTACATACACACATATTTTTGTTACAGAGTTTGCCCTTTCCTTTATAAACACACAATTGTCTGCCTTTCCCTGTGAAAAACCAATATCCAGCAATTCTTTTGCTAAAGTTTGGTGCCAGTTCCTTCCACTTTGGTGCAGACCATAAAGGGATTTATTTAATTTGCATACCAAACCTTCAGCGGCGTCTATGCCTTCAGGAACACGCATAAAAATTTGTTCTTTTAAATCTGCAAACAAATATGCAGTTTTTATATCCAAATGATAAACAGAATGTCCACGCTGTGATGCATCTTTTAACAAAAGCTTAACTGTTTCATATTTTACACTTGGTGAATAACACAAATCATAATCTTCGCCTGGAATTTGTTGAAAACCCCTAGCAACTAATCTAGCCTTGTACCTTACAACTTCATTTTTGTCATTCATTTTAACTTTATAAACCCATTTTGAATCAATAAGTCTCATATCTGGGGTTTGTGGTACAAGAGACCAAGTGTTATGCTCTTTTAAAGAAGCTATTTCAGAGTTCATAGCTTTATACCGATTTACAGCTTGGTGCTTAGGTAAATTCTGAACATCATTGTAGCTTTTTGGCTCAAAAACTGCCTTATTGGCATACACAGTATTAAAATGTTCATCTGCAAAACGTTGTGGCTTCTGTCTCTTTCTATCTGAACGTCTCAGTCCGGAAGGAGAGTCAGACTCCTCAGACTTAATGGGACTATGTAAACTACTAGTTTCAGGTTGTAAATCATCATTGTCAGACTGAAGAGATGCCTGTTGGCTAAGCTCATGGTCAGAAAACTCAAGAGAATCTAACCTCCCCTCGGGTGCCTGTGACTTTAAATCATCAAACAAATTATCAGATTCAACAGGCTTTTCGTCTTTTCCCATTAATTCAGAAGCACCATTTCCTGCTGCTGCTGCTGCTGCTTCTTCTACCTCTTCTTCCTCAGTATTATCTATACCGTTAGTATCTTGGAAAATAGCAACGCCATTCCAATTTACAGTTTGTATCATGCTTCTGGTAATATGAAATTTGCCAGTTGCTGGTATGTAAATTCTGTACGCCCATGCTGGTAGCCCATTAATTTTCCCTGGACACTACGTTCACCCAATTTCTGCTTAGCGGGATAATGCATTATTACATCTGAACCCCAAATGCGTAGGTATTTCAGATTAGGGCGTTTTTTAAACAGCTTCTCATAGGGGGTGACATCTAAACAAGAATGATAACTGCGATTCCTAACATAACAAAAGGCATTGAGCGCTTCAGCCCAAAAGTCTTTGGGCAGATTAGCATCGTGCAGATAAGTTTTAACCCCTGCCTGCAGGTCACGCTGCACAACTTCAACAAGCCCATTTTGCCAGGGACTTCGGGGGCAAGATAACTCATGAGTAGTCCCCTGCGCTTCCAGGAATTTCTCAAAATCCTCAGAAACAAATTCCCCGCCCCGGTCAGAAAACAGGTTCTTAATAGGTTTGTTAAAGTGCGTTTTTACCCAGTTGCAAAAAACTTTGTACTTCTCAAGTGCTTGGGACTTCTCAGCTATTGCATAAGTCCAACAATATCTACTATACTGGTCTATCAGGGTAAGCCAGTACTTAGAACCTCCTAAGGATGGTGGGAGTGGCCCAACTAAATCACAATGTACACGCTCAAATGGCTCAGTTACTTTCCTATCTGAGCACCTACCCTTGCGTGCAACCTTAATCTTATTCTTGCAACAGGATAGACATTGCATAAAGAATTTACATGGTTTTAAGTTGAGGCCA